GGGCGAGAGGGGAAGGGTGCGGGAACAAATATGTATTCTGCTTTGAAGACGAACCGTCACCCGGGGAGACAAATGTGCCGGCGGTGGTCGCACATCTTCACAGCGGAGCAGCCCGACAGCGTCCGGGCACGTGGTGTGCAGCATGAGGCGGCCCTATTTGAAGTCGGCGATGACCTGATGATGGGGAGGCATAGCTCAGGCTTATTGCTATCGGTGATTAAGCCCTGCAGCTCGCAGGTCATTATGGTCAGACATTTGGCTGCCTGCGATGCTCGCCCATCACACTTCAGGCCACACGACGCTGACGCCTGTGCGCTGGAGTAGTGATTGTGGCGCCAGTGGCTGTCACTTATATGTCCCACAACTGCGCAGTGCGGGCTTACCTAGATGCTACGCAGTTGTGCGGGCCCCGCTATCAGCGAAGGAGACCGCTATCGGCTGTACGATACAAGATGCGAACGGCCCTCTGGAGGAAGATAGCACTGAACGCTAATCGGTATTTGTGGTGTTCACCGAATGGTGCATCGGTCGACTTTCTGTCGTCCTGCCCCCGCCACCGCCTCTATTGCCGCTCTTTCCGCCGCCCCCTGCCACCGCCCCTATTGCCGCTCTTTCCGCCGTCCCCTGCCGCCCCCTGCCGCCGTCCCTGCCCCCGCTTCTTCCGCCGCCCCTGCCGCCGCCCCCGCCGCCGCCCCTGCCACCGCTCCTGCTGTTTGGTCTGTGGCCGCACGTGGTCGGAGGGGAGGGCTCGGCCTGTTCAGCCCAGCCGGACCACGTGTCGGCACGCGGCGTGACCCTCGCCCGTCCGTCCGAGCCTGTGGGGCCGGGACAGGCCCAGGGGCGGAACCACGGTTGGGCGTGGGTCCGACCAGCCCTCGGGCGGTCCGTGTCGGTTCCGCAGCCCGGTCCGTCCCTCCCCCGTCCCCCCCCCCCCCCGCCACCTCACCACGGTAATCGTCAGAGGGTCGACCCCCGGCCTGGTCCGTCCCTCCCCCCCCCTCCCCCGCCACCTCACCACGGTAACCGTCAGAGGGTCGACCCGCAGCCCGGTCCGTCCCTCCCCCCCTCCCCCCCCCCCCCGCCACTTCACCACGGTAACCGTCAGAGGGCCGACCCGCGGCCCGGGTCGGCGACGCAGGCAGGCTAATGGTTCTGATGACACCGTTCTGTCCCCTGATGGATTCGCCACCAGGGGGCCATCTGATGGTGCGTCAGCCCATCAGGTGGCCATCAGCCCATAACCGCCTGATGCCAAATGTGACCCGGCGGCCACATGATGGCAAACTTCGCCTGGCGCTCACATGACGGCACCACACTGGTGCTGTCTGTGGCAGCTCCACTCTTGGGCTGCCGGATAACTCCATTGGTGGGTGACCGCCTGAGACGGCTCTTCATCGTTCGTCATCATCTGGAGACCACGTGATGCCACTCGCAAAATAGCCTCGCCGCAACCCTAACCACCTGGCTGCCACGGGCGGCCGGCGCGACGGCTCGTCCTTCGGCAGCTTCCCGATGGCCCCATCGCCCGGAGCCGAGCGTGGCCGCCGTTTTTGCGGCACGGGTGCAGCCGCGTCCCCCGCTCCTCGGCCCTGACCGTGGGTGTTTTTGCGCCGCCTGCGCCTGACCCGGCGACACTGGAGCCACCCAGTCCGTCGCGGGCGGGCGCGGCGCCCCGCGCGAGGCGGGAGGCGCCGCGCTGTCCGCGGCACGGGGACCGCCCCCTGCCCTGCCCTCCCCTCCCCTGACCCGTGCCCGATGTCTGTCGGTGTTGTTTTACAGCCGGGGATTGTTTTGGGCAGCGCGCCGGCGTCGTGCCTTGTCAGCGGCAGTTGCGCTGGCGGCGCCTGGCCGGCGATTTGTCCCGCGCGGGCTTGTTGATAGGCGGCGGGTGCCAAGTGACCAGGGGCACACAGGGGACCAGGACCAGCAGCCCATGTGACGCTCCATGCTGCAGACCGGTGCCGCCGCGCAAACATGAGTTTGACCGCACGTAATGAGCGGAGGCTTCCAAGTCACAGCCTTGCGTGCTCCTCGAATGAAGTGCCCGGGGCGGTCACGCGACCGACGCGCCGCAACGCGCGCGTGTCCTACCGCCAGCGCCGGTGAACCTCTGGCCGCTCTGGCACATCCCCGGAAGTGACCTCTGCAAGTCGCCGGCGTGCGCGCCAGCGGACCGCGGCTGTGCAGGCGCGTATCTGGGCGTGCTGCAGCGCCGCGTCCTCAGCCCTCCGGCGGAGCGCAGGTTGACGCGCGCCTCTCAACGCGGCGGTTGCGTTACCCTGCGCAGCAATTGTGTTAGGCGCTCGCTGCTGTGGCGGACTTTGCGACGCGGCAAAACAGATGGAGTAGATAATAGAACGAAGGCAGCGGCTGGATCGGCGAATATCCGCCTACGGTCACACAGGCCGGTCCAAGAAAGAAAGCCTCCTCCTGCCCGGGAGAAAGGCGAACGTTTCAAAAGCCAGACAAACCAGCAAGTGCTTAGGTTACCACCGTGACAACTGCTGACAGCTCAGCGCCGTGACAGAGTGGTGACAGATCAGTGCCGTGACAGGCGCGCCGGCCGTGTCGCGCCGCGGCCTCAGCCGTGACCTGCTCGGCCTGACCCGAAGTGACCGGTCACGGTCGAGCGGCGCTGCCGCCGGCTGGGCAGGGCCGGCCGCCCTGCCGGTAGCAGAGCGGCGTGCTGAGGTCATCTCTCCGGGCGCCTGTCTTCTGTGGCAGCGGGAGCGATGCCGCGCCGCCACGGGTCGGACGGGCTGGCCCGCGGCGGCCGCGCCCAGTGTCCCAACAGGCGGCGGTATTAACATTCCGGGCGACGGCTTCAGGCCCCCGGCAGACGCGCCACCGGCGGCGAGGGCGCCGGTAACGGGCCGGCCAACCCTTCACCGACCGGGCGGCCGCCGCCGCGCCCGCCTCCTCCCAAGATGGATGACCACTCCTGTCCGGACGCGGCGCCGAACGGCGCGCGCGCGCGGAAGATAGGCTCCTGTCGGGGAATGTCGTAAAAGTGTCGGACGGTGCTACTGCGTTGGGTGATCGGGAGGGACTGGCGGCCGGGTCCGGCTGATGGGGGTCGTTTGGCGGGCCGTGTGCCGCGCCGCTCGCCAGGTCCAGCTTGATGGGGGCCGTTTGGCAGGCCGTGTGCCGCGCCGCTCGCCAGGCCCACCTTGATGGGGGCCGTTTGGCGGGCCGTGTGCCGCGCTGCTCGCCAAGTTTAGGCGCTCACGCTGCGGATGCGCGGATCTCTCGCGGATGGAAGACATGCGCCTGAGGGCAGGGCGAGGGGCGAGGGCGTGACGACCTGACCTCGGTGGCGAAAGGCGCGCGAATCGGGGGGGGGGGGGAGGGGGAAGCGGATGGACGCTGTTGATCCCCACTGGCGAAACGCTGCGTTTGCATTATGAATGAGTTATGAATGCAAAGGCTTTTGTGGTGTTGGTTTGAGGCGGTTGAAATGTTTGTGTTTGAACCGGCTGATGACAAGTTTTCAGTCCGTCCTGAGCGGCGCTGCTGCCATTGGCTCCTGTACGAGCATTAGGCGGCTTGTGGTGGCATTAGCCGGCGCTGGGACGAACGTCTCCGCGCCTGCCCAGCGCAGTGGCAGGGCGCGCCACCTGTCCCTGCTGGGCGGCCCCCGGAGCCCAGTCATGGCCGAAAGGCCCGGCTGCTCTCTCTTGAGGTCATCGGCCATGGCAGAGGTCCGCCGTCCGCAGGGACGTCGTGCGGGCGGCGCCAAAATGGGCGCCAGAGGGGGCGCCGCCGGCCACATACTCCTGTCCCGTTTGGTACGGCGGGCTCCCCGCCGCTGGCGACGCCGTACCCCCCCCCCCCCTCCCACCCCTCCCCTCTGGTGGTCCGGAGGTGGGTCAGCTGTCTGAAGTCACGAACAGCGGACTCGGGAGACGACCGGGAGGACACTGATCATCGCTGGCAGGATTTGCGGAGAAGAGCGTGCTGCACAGCCGTCGGAATGAGCGTCCTCCAGCGGCGAAATGTTCAGATTAGTGCTGCACAGCCGTCGGAATGAGCGTCCTCCAGCGGCGAAATGTTCAGATTAGTGCTGCACAGCCGTCGGAATGAGCATCCTCCAGCGGTGAAATATTCAGATTAGTGCAGCACAGCGGTCGGAATGGGCGTTCTCCAGCGGTGAAATATTCAGATTAGTGCAGCACAGCGGTCGGAATGGGCGTTCTCCAGCGGCGAAATATTCAGATTAGTGCTGCACAGGGGTCGGAATGGGCGCCCTCCAGCGGCGAAATATTCAGATTGCGCGGGCGATTAGATTAATTCAGATGAATGTTTATCTTTTCAGTAAGCTAATCAATTGCGTACTTATTTTTTGATTAAAGATGCACAAATGATTCAGATATGATGAAAATTGAAATTTTCGCGTCCGCCGCCGATAAATTGCACCGCATTATGCGTGCACGCTGTCCATTACATTTCGCTTCAATAGGGTGCAAATCTGAGCCGAGAAACGGCGGGCTGTATTTGTGTGTCGCGGCGCGGTCAGGGTCGGGCCTTCCTCACCAGTGGCACCGTGCCGGCTTGCGCTTTTCTCACCTCCTGGTATCGTGGTGCCATGTATTTTGTGCGTACCGCAGACACGCGCGTGCACGGGGTCGTTTGCGGCGACAGGTGAGCTACGAACGCTCTGCAATGACCGCCCGCCGGCGTGGTGTGTCGATCACTGGCGCCCGGTCTGACAGGCGATGATGCCACCGACTCGTCACCCCGAGCTCCAGCGAGCCTCTCTCCAGGGCCTTCCTAGGGGGCCCCGAGTCCCAGCGGGCCTCTCCAGGGCCTTCCTGGGGCCCGAGCTCCAGCGGGCCCGCGTGGCGTGGTGGGCCGAGCGACCGTGCCGGTAACCGACCGAGCCCGCCGCCGGCGTCGTGACCGGCCGTGACCTACCGTCATCGGCCGTGACCGACCGTGACCGGCCGTGACCGACCGTGACCGACCGTGACCGACCGTGACCTACCTCTCCTCCTCTGCAGATTGCCGGCCGTGCACGGACAGCGAGGTGCTGCTCAGCTACTGCACCAGCGATTTCGGTGAGTCGCCGCCTCGACCGCGTCGGCCGCCGCCGGCTGCCGTGCTGACCTGCTCTTACTTGCTGAGCCCTGCTCAAAGGTCGAGGACTAGGAGCTGACTACTGGACCGGGCTCCAGCCCAGGCGGGCGGGCTCCAGCCCGCAGGCTGCCGTCATTGATGAGCGTTTGGGAGTACTGGACCGGGCTCCAGACCGCAGGCTGCCGTCATTGATGAGCGTTTGGGAGTACTGGACCGGGCTCCAGACCGCAGGCTGCCGTCATTGATAAGCGTTTGGGAGTACTGGACCGGGCTCCAGCCCGCAGGCTGCCGTCATTGATGAGCGTTTGGGAGTACTGGACCGGGCTCCAGACCGCAGGCTGCCGTCATTGATGAGCGTTTGGGAGTACTGGACCGGGCTCCAGACCGCAGGCTGCCGTCATTGATGAGCGTTTGGGAGTACTGGACCGGGCTCCAGACCGCAGGCTGCCGTCATTGATAAGCGTTTGGGAGTACTGGACCGGGCTCCAGACCGCAGGCTGCCGTCATTGATGAGCGTTTGGGAGTACTGGACGGGGCTCCAGACCGCAGGCTGCCGTCATTGATGAGCGTTTGGGAGTACTGGACCGGGCTCCAGACCGCAGGCTGCCGTCATTGATGAGCGTATGGCAGGCTCGTGAACGCTGCTTGTTTTCGTCAGTGACAAAGTTGACGGTGGCGACGTTGATGGCTAAAGCGAAGCAAAAACGACGCGTGACCCAAACCGTCGTTTTCCAGCGATGCTCGAACGCATCCACCAGGAGGCCACCATGATGGAGTAACGTCGCGATGGGGTGACTGGCGGAATGCGCTGTTTTAGCATGGGGCGTTCATCACGTCAGGTTTTGCGACTGGCGGTCGCGTCGTGTGTTTGTGCATTAGGCGTATGACGATGCATGGAGGGAACAGGCCCGAGAAGTTCCATATAGCTGGCTCAGCTCCCCAAGCATGTCCCGCGAGTGTCGGCTGGCGAATGCTGTCTGTGCCGCGATGCCGCAGGGCCCGTGCAATGGTGTGCCGTCATTACTTCTGTCATCACGTCATCACGTCATCACCTGTGAAATAGCACTTGGTCATTGGCCTCGTTTACGAATCTCCAGCTGGAGATATGTGCTGGACCTTTTGGCGTTATGGCCAAAAGGTCAGCGCCCTCGGCTCCCACAGGTCCTGAATTCGATATCCGGTTGTTCCACGGCTCCCGCAGGTCCTGAGTTCGGTTCCCGGTTGTTCCACGGCTCCTGAGTGCTAACGTGACCACTGTAGTCTCGGACGGCTCACAAACGCGCTTCCCGGCCACGTGCGTCGCGTCCCGTAACAAAAACAGCGAGGCGGGCTCGCTCGCTCACGCGCTGCGGAGCCCCAGCGGAGCTTCGCGGCACGACCGCCAGGTGCGCCACCACCGGGTGTCCGGTCTGCGGACTGGCGTCCATACCCGCGCGCGGGCCGTTCTTGAGGATCCGGTCGGTGAATTGTGCCCCGGACGCTTCACCGAAGAAGCTGAGATGGTGGTGTGCTGGGATAGTGGCGGGGCGGTCTCTGTGTCGAGCTTCGGACCCGCCGGCCGGCACGCTCAGCAGCTGTCGGGCTCGTAGTGGCGGATCGTGCCGTCTTGTCGCGGCTCGCACGAGATCTCGTGTTGTCTGCCTCAGCTGCGGAGGATTGTGTTGTCTTCTTGCAACTCTCATAGCATTGTGCCGTCTTCTTGTATAGTTCACGGACTGTGCTGTCCTTTCGCAGCTCTTGCGTGATTGTGCTGCCTCCTTGCAGCTCCCACACGTCGCCCTGTTGGAGACCTGATCGCCCGTTAAACACGTCGCCCCATTCTGCAGCAAGCGGCGTTCCACCTGTGCCCCCCCCCCCCCCCCCCTCCTGCGACGACGCCCACAGTCGGGCGACACCAACGCGGAAAAGCGGCCACCGAGCCGCCTTTTTACTGACCGTCTTCAGCTGCACTGGACCGGGCCGCGGACGGACCGGACTGCCGCGCGGGGTCTCGCGTGTCGTGCCGGCTGCCAGCTGCGGCCGCGCCCGACCGATGGCCCGGCTGGTGTCCGCCCAGTGACTGCTCGGTGACCGCTATGTGACCGCTCGGTGATCGCTCGGTGACTGCTCGGTGACCGCCCAGTAACCGCTCGGTGACCGCTCGGTGTCCGCCCAGTGACCACTCGGTGACCGTTCGGTGACCGCCCAGTGACCGTTCGGTGACCGCTCGTTGACAGACCGTTTCTGTCGGCAGTTGTGCGCGGCCAGATCACGGGCGTCGAGCACCACGACCGGCTGGACCGCAGTGCGCTGCTGCTGAGCGCTTCGCGCGTCATCCGGCAGACGAACGACATCTTCCGAACGAACGGGCGAACTAACGTTTGGCGACGCGCCCGCCGGGGACCTGAGCAACCACGTTAGCGACCGGTACCGGCCCGCGGTGCAGTTCGCCGACAGTGCGGCGACGGCCGACACGGCCGTCAGGGGACGCGTGTACGTGCCGCGCCACTGTGGCGCGCACTCCGGCCGCGCCCAGTACCTGCTGATGGGGCGGCACCGGCTCGGCGTACCCATGGTCACGTGCTCGCTGGCCGTCGATGAGTGGCGCCGCATCCGGGCGGCCGCCGAGCGGTCGGCCACCAACGAGTGCGTGCTGGAGACGTAGGCGCGCGCCGGGACCGCTGACGCCAGCCGCGGCCGACCGGGGGCGGTGAGGGGACCGCGCGCGGAGAGCGGCGCGAGCGCAGGGCTCGTCTCCACGGCCTGCGATGTGATTGCTTCTTCTTATCTGTGCCGATGCTACGTAACCTTTGCTTATCAGTGCAAAGTGAAGACTGTGATATGCATGTACATAGTGCAATTGATGGATGAGAGCGTTTAGCGTAGCGGCAACGTTGGCTGGGTCCGACCGCTGGGGCGAGACGTCGGAGATAGAAGGCGTCTGGGCAGGGCTCGTGTCTGCCTATGTTCGCTTCAGTACTGCGTGCCCATTTCAGCGACAGCTGTGAGATTATACAGCAGTTACTGACCGGCTGCTGCGCGAGTCCCTCACCTACCCGTCAGCTGGTGAGGTTGACATTGCTCGCGTTGCTGGTCGAGCACTGCGTCAGGATACTTGTGATAGCGAAATCCGATGATACTTTGTTTTCCATTCAAGTGCCAAAACGACGGTGTAAAAGGTATGAAGTGCGCGTTGCTGATCTACATAATCGAATAACATTTGCGCTACGTCTTGGCCCGGCTGATATCCCAGAGCTTTTAACCTTGACCCAGTGCGGCGACGCGTTCCCTTCGTCACGACCCTGACCTCGGGTCAAGGGCATGTTGCGCTGCTGCGTGGAAAAACAGGGTACGTTTCATCGTCGCACTACGGTGTGGACTGGCGGCGTCTTTCCATGTAGCCCCGCTCTTTTGTAGCCTAGGCGTCAGCGTCGCAAGCGTTTGCGGGGCCGTGAATTCTGATGTGCCAACGGCCCGGGAGGGCGGTGGTCTGGGGCTCGGCAAGGTCTGTGCACGCCGCCGCGAGCGGCCGTCAGTGTCAACTGTACATAGCACGGTGGCCAGCCCCGTCAAAGATTGGTCGTGGTCGACCGTCGTCGGCGTGAACACGGCGGCCCACATTTGTCCGGTTTGAGCCGGTTTTAGCTGGCACGCGCTGCGCTGGTGTGTGGTGGGCCTGACTCGGTAGACCAGCGGTCCATGTGACCCGGCCATGGATGTGAGGACCACTGACTGACTGTGCGCCGCCGACCGAGTGGCATTTGAGAGCCACCAGCCCGTGATCTCTGAGCGAGCCCGCTGCGTGAGAGTGTCATGCTAGCGCCGCGGTGTACAGTGAATATACCCTATACACGTACGGAGGTGGTGTTTTCCTGGCAGTCGAAAGTGGGCGAGCGCCTTATTGATTCCTGGCTAGTCCGCACCAGAGCGACGGAGCACAGCGCCTTGTCTCCTGGCGGGTCCGCGCCAGAGCGACGGAGCACAGCGCCTTGTCTCCTGGCGGGCTCGCGACAGAGTGACGGAGCACGGCGCCCTGTCGGCTCCTGGCGAACCCGTGCCAGAGCGGCGAAGGACAACTGCAGCCGAATGGAGACAGGGACTGCGGCCGGCTGGAGACAGTGACTGAGGCCGGCTGGAGACAGGGACTGAGTCCGGTTGGAGACAGGGACTGCAGCCGAATGGAGACGGGGACTGCGGCCGGCTGGAGACAGGGACTGCGGCCGGCTGGAGACAGGGACTGAGGCCGGCTGGAGACAGGGACTGCAGCCGACTGGAGACAGGGACTGCAGCCGGCTGACACACGCGACTGGCCGGCAGGAGCCGACTGAATACTAACGCGGCATTTGGTGATAATGTGTTTTTGGATATTTGAGGCTAATCAGAATTTGTAGGCAAGCACAATGCATATATATATATATATATATATATATATATATATATATATATATATGTATATATATATATATATATAAAGTGTAGAGAGCAAACTGAGTTAAGCCAGATTAATTATTGGCACAAAAGTGTCCAGATCCGAGGCTCGACATGCGCGATCGTCTTCACGCGGACTGACACCACCACCAAAGATATCCGAACGATGGGATCGTTTTACCCCAGCCTGTTACATCAAGCGCTGGGGATTTGGACGTGCGATGCAGGTCCATCACGCGGTCTGTTGTGACTAGATATTTTTCGCGTTTTTTATTAATATGGTTAGCATGTGACGTAACTGCCAGTTACCGGATGATCTTTACAGAGAAACAGAACAGCTGGCATGCGGGTGCTGCGTAACACCAATGACTTGCTTTGCAATGCAGCCGTCAAATCAGTAAATCAGGGCGACAAGTTTCGGTTCGCTTCTTCGGCACCTGCAGACCATGTGAACTTTCAGCACCACCTACCCACAAACAGCTAGCGACATCTACTAAAGAACAGGGGATTGCCATTCCGGGCGCCATAGCGCACACCATGACCATCCAGTGTCCTAGAATTGCCGACTTAAGGTGTAAAGCAACACCCTATGAGGAGGGATTTTTCACTCCTTTTTCCCATATTTTATGTGAATTTTTTACTCCTGCCTGGCATTGTCTAATCGCACACGCCAAACCCCTATTTCGCTTTCTGAGGTTTTCAGGTGTCATTCAAAATCGACCTCACTTGAAACCACCAAGCATAAACGAGGCTCCGCAGAACCTGGAGACCCATGGCTATGTCCTGCCTCACCTACATCTGAATCATGTCTATGTATGCACAGAGCAAGGGCGCCAGGTACCTCCAAGCTCAAGAACCCTAGCGACCCCAGCCGCTTGCATGCATTAAGTTTGGTTTGTTTACAAAATGCATCACAATCTGAACCTGTGCGCCGAATGCAAGGTTTCCACGCATCCCCTATTTTTTGGGTCTCACCACTACACCACAAAAGCAGAGCCTGGTGCAAACACCAGCAAGGCATGGTAGATAATTTTACTCCACGTATTTCTTTTTTCCCAAGGAAACTTGACCACTAAATTGCATCACTCCCGAAATGCATGAGTGAAAAGTTCAAGAAATGTCTTCTAAATTAAACTTACAAGATGAATATCACCATTTGAGCACTTTTATTAACAAATTTGAAGTCAAATCAGCTGATAACGAAATTGTTCGAGAAAAGTACCAGTATTTATATTGATTTAGCTACTTTTGTTTTTCTTGGTACCATACCAGTGTATGCCACTTTATTCTTCCTTCCTTTTCGATTGTCTTTAGAGGCACCATCTGCTGCTTAAAATTTTGCCTAATTTCTCTGCAAGATGCTCCAACTGCAAACTTGTACGTATTTCATACATAAATTGGATTAATTCGCCAGCCGCTCAAACATGTTTGATATGCACCCAAGCGTGAACAATTCACAGGAAATGAAGGAGACAATCTGAAGCACGGAACATATTATTGCCGCCATTTTTGCCCTCTTAAACCCTCGCTTAACCGTTTTCTTGGTTCATGGCGGTGCTCAATAATGATAAATCCAAACCTTTCGAGTGTCTGATTCACCAGGCTACCTGGCAAGGCTATCATAATGCTGCCACATCAAGCCTTGGGACAGACATGACGCAGCTAGTACAGAAGCGTTTGATGGCGAAATTCTGCCCTCTGGAGATGTTTATCATGCACAGCCTCTTACTTGTTTCGCATCTTCATCTCGAAGGTTGGTGAGCATGATTGATATTTATATTTGGGGGGGGGGGGAGGGTGAGTCGGATGACTCTGTCTGCCAGCAGACCACGCAAAGGTCCTGAATTTTTGTTTTGGGGGGAGCAGGAAGGAGTCAGCAAGTCTCCTGTGGACCAAGAAATTGCTTACCTTACATGCTTTCAACACACGATTGGTAACCAGAGTTAGCTATTTTCTGGTTTGGTGCATCGAGTTTTGCCATAAGACAAATTATGATGCCACAAGGCATGCAATGGGCTTATTTTGTTCCATATTCTTGGTTATTTGCCGGAAGTTTCTTAACGTGGTCCCTCATGGCTGCTTTGACCAGATGTTTTCTATAGTTGTCATGGTTTGCTGACCGGCAAATGACTGTGCTGTATATATGCACTGTATATTTAACACAGGGATACTCTAAGCTGCATAGCAATTATAATATGAGTTAAATATTGGTATGTAACAAATAGACCACCCCATTTAAAATGTGAAGCCAGCATCTCAAACTTTGTCATTAAATATGAATAAGCAAGCCCAAATGGATGCATATCCCTGCAGCTGAAAAGGCAAGCAGCAATCCTGACATGGTCTTCTAAAAGTTATGTTATTTTTGGAGAACAGAGATTGTTTTGTGGAGCATACCCATTATGGCCCTTGACATAGGTTAACCATGACAACCAAAAGAAATTGTTCAAAGGGATTTAAAGTGTTTTTGATTTGTGCGTTGTCAACTTTGTCTGATGTTAACAGGCATACACAAATGAACTGAATGAAAATGCAACTTGAAACCAGCCAAAAACTAGCTTTAAATATCATGTTTTTATCACAAGAGCTGCTGTCAACAGACAGATGAGTTGAGATGATGTTCATCATATGGACTACTCTAAGTTAGGTTAAGTTGGTCAAGTGCATGGCAAGTGGCAATAGGAATTGTGCAAGAATCAGCAACTCACGACTGCTGCTGTGATGCAAACAGGTTATACAGGATGCGATGATGTGAGGCCTCTTTAGGTTAGCCTTAGGCTACTTTCATATAAACAAGCATTGGTATTTTGTAAGAAACAGCGACAAAATGTTTGTTTTCCCAGACCCCATCTTAACAGAAGCCAGAAGTATGTCTATTGTGTTTGACTTGGTGGTGGGCTGATATGTAGGAGTCCACTGTTTTTTGTTGTTGTAGCGTTTTATGCTTGTTGAATATTCTGTTGTTATTTTGTTATTGAATTCCTTTGCTTCGTTTTGTTTTAAAAGTGTTGTGGAAGGGAATTGAAAAGTGCAGCATCAAATTATTGGTGTTAGAAATTTGTCATGCTCATAATACTGTCATGAAATTACTATGCTTTTACACGCGCCCGGTTGGCCAGCTAGATACCCTTCGCTCGGGTGAGGGGGGGGGGGAGAAGGGGGGTGAGGTCAATTGGACCCCCCTCTGAGATCTCGGGAACTAAGAAAGCTAGAGACACCAAATTTACATGGTGTCTTGACCTGTACCTGAACTCACTTAGGTTAAAGTTTGAGCTTCCTAGGTCATGACCTGCAGGTCGAATAAGATAAAAAAGGTCAAATTCCGGGTTGGTCTCCAAAGCGCCCCCAGAACCTAGGCAACTGTCTCTAAGCAAAAGGTCGCAAGCCCATTTGAGGTCATTGACCTTGTTTGACCCTTTGAAGGTTATGGTGACCAAATTGATACAAGACCTCTCTGCGTTTTGCATTTGAATAAGCGGCAAAGAGTACGCTAGGCAGTATGTTCCTAAAAAAAAACGTTGGTCCCGGGTCATCTTAGGTCAATGGCCTGTTCTGACCTCTAAGAAGTCAAAGGAAGATGTAGAATGCGGTTCCTGCTGTCAATGAATTCGAAATGAGCACCGGAAACTATCCCATACAGCAAGCCCTCGAGTAATAAATCAGGTTGGTTTTGGCCTTGGTCTGGCCATCATACCTGACCTTAGGTCAACGTAATTTGCTCATTCATTATTTGTGGTGCCTAAGAAAGCATCTCAGAGGTGTATGTCTTCGTCAAACACCCCGTTGTTGTATCAGATTGAACGATTCCCTAGAAATTGCCTTCACTGAAACCATGGGCTGGCTTTGACCTGTCATAGGTCAGCGACCTTACAAGGTGCATCTAAAATTTGTATGTCACACAGCCCGTTTTTTTTTGGTGTCCATCTGCATTTAGCTTTGATATTGTTTCTCGTACCACATATGTGTCACAAAATCACGCATCATTCCCTCTTTACATACCATTTGGAACGATTTCAACTGCATGGAGCAATACCGCAAAAATTGATACTCTTTTTGATGCCCGTATATTTTGGTCTTCTTTATATTCATTACATAAGAATGTACCAAAAACCTCCTGTCAATTTTTGACAGAATGCAGACGAAGCGTGAAGACAAAGCATAAATGGGCTTAGGTAAGTCCCGAGGTGTGATTTCACATGGTCTGATCAACTCAGTGAAGGGAAATAACAGAAGCAGGCGGTTTCCAATATGTCAGAAATTTAGGTTCTGCTCACATTGAACCAGCATTTGCACAGAGCGCATTGGCTTATTGTTAAGTTTGTTGGTGTATTTACCGGTTTTTTGGACTGTCAGTATGGCCCTTGAGAATTCAGGAATGATTTGCGAGGTTAGATTATGAACTTTTTCGTCGTCTAAATTATGCGCTGCTGTT